ATTTAACACAATTATTTATATATAATTCATTATTTAACATATAATTGAATAGATTACCCATTATTTATATATAATGCATTTAAGTCTAAAAGATTATATGTAAATAATTGCATTAACGTTTTCATTATTTGTAAATAATTAGTGTACTTTTTCACTATATATAAATAATGAAGGGGTAACCAAACATTATTTACATATAATAAGGTTACTGGTAACACATCATTATATATAAATAATGAAAAGTAACTTACAATTATTTATATATAATAAGTTCACTGATTCCATTATATATAAATAATGAAAAGGTGACAAATTATTATATATAAATAATGAAAAGTAACTTACAATTATTTATATATAAGTTCACTGATTTCATTATATATAAATAATGAAAAGGTAACAAATCATTATATATAAATAATGAAAAGTAACTTATAATTATTTATATATAATAAGTTCATTGATTTTATTATATATAAATAACGAATTTACTTCAAACTCATTATATATAAATAAGTGCTTTTACATTTCATTATATATAAATAATAGCTGTCGCAAAACCATTATATGTATATAATGCTTGGACTTCAAACTCATTATTATGTATATAATGCACACGTGTTATCGTGTCAAGGTGATTGTATCTAAATAATGGTATCTTACTGCCAATTATATATAAATAACCGTTGAGGTCGAGTGCCATTATATATAAATAATGACTATATGTATATATATATATATATATATATATGTCATTAAGCTGTCTCTTATACACATGTGATTGTAGTTGATTTTTAACTACTTGACAGTATTTTTTGGGGAGAGGGGTCGACTGGGGGTGCGCCCCCGTGTTCCCCCTCCAGACACACACATCTCATTCAACATTCCGTTATCGAATAATTATACTAGAAATATTAAAGCGTAGGCCTAGTACATTAACTTGTAAGTATTCATAACCAAGCGTTAAAAATCACGATTAAGCAATATCTTCATCCGTAATCATACTCTATAATCATAGTTTGCTGCGAATTTCCTTACAATTAGTCCAGTGGCGTATCCGGGATTATAAAAAAGAGGTGCTGAATAGAATTAATATTACATTCACTAAACTTTACGCAAGGTGCAAAACAAGAGCACACCAATGGCTTTGACTACATCATCTACGTCTAAAGTAACTTCATTTGCCGTTTATTTCTATTAATTTTTATATTATTTTTCCACTTTGAAAGAAAAGGAAGGATGCTGAGGCACGATGAGCACCACCTCCTCCCCTGGTTACGCTAACAGTTACTGCGTTAGTACTAGTACAATGTACTTTGGCTTTGGGCAGGTTTTCAATAGGCCCTTAATGCGTTAATAATTTAGCCGGCGATTTTCGATCGTAATAGGTACCGGTAACACATAAAAAACAAACATTTCTTTAGATACGTGATACCGACAGATGTTAAAACCTTTAGTATTATGGCTAGACACAATTTTGGCGTTGGCGACGTCTTTTCAATTTAAGTATTTCAATATTTATATTACTGATGGATCCTTTGTATAAAATATAGATTTTTAAGGAAGGATTTCAAGTACAGAATGTATCAAGATCATTAAACAGTGGAGTCACATTTCTTGTTGGCATTCATGATTGAATGTGCGACATGTTTTTAACATTAAGATCTGTTCACGATGTCAAATTCAGTGGGTAGGCCTTAGTCCGGGAGCCAGTGGCTACTGCGGAAAATGACCACAAGTTTAGTTGGTATTTTTGGAAAGATCATTTCGTGGGGATGTTTGAACTGTGGCGTCTAAAGAGACATAACTGTTGAAATAACGGGTCTGAGGTCAATAGGCCTATGTCATTTCCCGTAAATTTTGCTATGACAGAAAAATTTTGAATTCAAAACACATGTAATAGGCCTAGGCCTATATCAAATACAATTATGTTGCACATCATATGAAAGCTTAAAAAATTGTCTATCCATTGATATATTTGAAGCTTCATGTTTTCAGTACGTAGTTTTATAAAACACTAAATTTTGTAATTACTTGCTCCACAAAAAAAAAATAAAAATAAAAATAAAAAAAATCACGGTCAAGTTAAAATGACCTAAAAATCCCCATATTTTGAGAATTAGCGCCTCTCAACTGATCATCAGCTCCTCCCACCCACCCATTTCAAGACTTCTAGATACGCCACTGTGCATTAAGCGGTGTCGTATTATAGTAAATCGATTAAAATGTAATGAAGTTAGCGTAGAAGATACTTTTTACAACAATGTAGGCTATAGGCCTACATTTTGAATGATTCAGAGATTCATGAGATTAAGATTGATTTTATTTAAATTCCCATTCAGACTAAAAGTATGAAGAGTTTCGAGAGGCCTCCTAGGGGACACGTTAAGTAAGTATACGCTTGTATGTTACCACCACCACCACCAGACCGAGAAAATAAAAGCAAAGCACATAACATCATCCATTACTTGTCTGATGATCGCTAAATGCGTAAAACCTAAAGAAACAAACAAGCGCATACTTACTTATGTGTGTGTATAATATACACACTTATGTGTCTGTCTCTTATACACATCTAGATGTGTATAAGAGACAGTTTTAATTATGAAAACGTTTGAATCTTGGAATAATTCAATTTTATAATCAATTGTATGGTATCAACAGTCAATCATGGTACCATGAATGATTATAAAATCTTTTTAAAGTTCCCGTCTTTTTGTAAGTTAACTTTCTTTCTTACTTATTCTATAGTTATGTTACTATACTCATCATTACGAGCAGACAAAAGAAATTCTTATCTCATACGTTTGATTTATGACAATAAATTTCTCTTCAATATTTATCTCTTGTATCTCGCCTTGTTCAACGGCTGAGGGCGTATACCATTTCTGTTCTTTTTAGTGCATCACGAACTAGTGCTGTTCAACTTGTGTAAGATCAGTTATTGGTAAGTCTCGAATCCTCTCAGAAACGAGTATTAGACGAATCCACATGTTGGTTCAAATGATTTTAATTTATCTGGGCGCATGCATGCCTCCTCATAGTTCAGTAAAGACGATGTACTGCTGCCACCTCGGACGTTAAAAACACGGTGCGTGGGCCAATGGTCAGGTTCCACATATCCAATCGGAGGCTGGAAACAGAAAGCGTTTTCTTCGGTCTTATCACTATGATCTGGAATCCAGAGTTGGTTTCCCTTTTCAAGTTCTGACCAACAATCAGGTGATGGCTTGTTAGGCGACCATAGTAGCCCGTTTGCAATCCACGTCCGATCACAGGTTCTATTAACTCAGATGTGTATAAATGTGAAGTTAGACAATAGAACACAAACTATTTTATTCGGGAAACTAATATTTCGTCTTGTCCTCAAGACTTCATCAGCGTAAATGATTACAAGTTGGCAAATGCAGAACAGATACTTATACACAAAATCAGTCTTTCTTTTTTCTTACTTCATTTGGTGTTGACAATTTTTATTTATTATTATTTTAATTCTAAATTAGGTTAGCTATGTATACTCAAATTCTGAAATGGGTGTTGAAAATCCTAATTTAAAACCTGCCCCCATCCGCTATCTTGTTTACATAGTTTCACAAAAACTCATTTGTATAAACGAATTTACAACGTCAAATTAAGAGTACTATTACAGTTTACAGACACTTTTTATTTTTTCACCATAGCTCAGCCCCAATCATGGGGCTCGGGGAGGTGTAGACTCTCATAGTATTCGGTCCCGATTAAGAAGTCTGCTAGGGCTGACTAAACAACGTATGAACACAGTGCTGCATAACCACACCCTAAATATTTAAGCCGTGTGTCCCGTGCACGTTTATTAGGTACAATACGCTTTGGAGAAAAGCGGCTGGAGTACATGTAATGTTTAAATGGCTAGCAGAATGACTTCGCAAGATGTATTCTGACCGAACTACACTTGGTTGTTTTATGAACAAGATTAAAGATTATTTAAGCAATTACCCTATATTAAAAAACAGAATTCCTATTTAGTGGACTTAAACCTTCAGGACCACCAAAGTGTCCTCTTAATATAGGCGTGTACTCTGAATAGAAGAACCCCTGTTTATGGGGCAATGGCCAAACATTTTGAAATTGTCCCCTTAACATGGGTTCTAGGCACTTAGTCTTACAATGATGACATAGATTGTTTATAATTTTATAGCAAAATGATCAAAAGAACGAATTACTATATGCAAAAACAATATATTTTTTTATATAAAATCTAATTAAAGTCAATTAAAACAACACAAATTCTATGCAGTAGTCCATATTATTTCATGATTCAACTGCTAATAACAGATACATCAGCATGTGTATAGTGTAATGACTAAGAAATCAATTGGACTTGAATATAAAAATACACGGGTGAAAATCCAATAAATTAAGGGTCAAAATTGACAAGATCAGCTTTTATATGAAATAATAACACACAGTGGGTCTATAATGATGTCCATTTTATGGATTAAGAACAATATTCTGGTTTGGATTTTAAATCTATGGCTCTGAAAATGTCAAAATAAACATTTGAATGAACATTGAGTCTATTCGTCTACACGGATTATTAAAGAAGTATACAAATGAAAATACTAATGATGATGATGATAATGATGATGACAACAAAATGAATCAATTGTTTCTGATTTTCATTCCATTTGTAGCAAATTTTAGTCTATTATTTTATCTCACAATCTAAATCAGACAAAATAATTTCAGTGTTAGAGATATAGCAGTAACCTGATGTTACATTGTCTTTATGAGTTGTAACTATGCCAGTGATATTATCACAACCTGGCCGCTGCGTAGTAGAGGGGTAAGCGGTAATTCCCCCTTTAATCCACCCTCGGTGGCACATGCCATAACCACTTATTCTTGCTGCTTCGAGTTGAGAATAATTTGCCATAGACGCGCCTGCGTCATGACAGCGCATGCATGCCTCCTCATAGTTCAGTAAAGACGATGTACTGCTGCCACCTCGGACGTTAAAAACACGGTGCGTGGGCCAATGGTCAGGTTCCACATATCCAATCGGAGGCTGGAAACAGAAAGCGTTTTCTTCGGTCTTATCAGTATGATCTGGAATCCAGAGTTGGTTTCCCTTTTCAAGTTCTGACCAACAATCAGGTGATGGCTTGTTAGGCGACCATAGTAGCCCGTTTGCAATCCACGTCCGATCACAGGTTCTATTAACTCCAGATTTGCTAACGTTTACTATCTCCATTGGTCCTGCAAGATGGCCTCCAAATTCCTCTCGACAACGATTCGATGCCCGCTCGTACGTAAGCTTTTCAACTGCATCTCCAGTTAACCGAAGTAGCCTGTACTCATCATAACTTGGACTTTCGACAATCGAGCAATAGCCACCCGGGTAGAGCGAGGTGCGCTCGGGAAAAACATTACATCTAGAAGCTGCAGGTTTCAAATCGCAGGATCCATCGATTTCTGTAAATGCGATCTCCCCGTTCCACAACCAACCTTGCAAACAAGGAACGTCCACGCCTTTCTCGACAACAGCAATCAGCTCCTCGTAATAAGCCAATGAAGCTTTAAGTTGAGCACATTCGTTAGACGCCTGCGTGTATGTCATAGATTTCTTCGCTACTATCAGTTCTCCGTGTCGATGGATCTAAAAACAAAAATTCCAAAGTGATCGATTCGGATTTTTATAGATTAATAGGCCTATCTGGTTGAAGAATAAATTTAAAAAATAACATTCAATGGATTTGCTTACTTATATTTGATATGTTTTTTTGTTTTTTTTGCATAGATCATGAAAATTAATTTCCTAAAATGTAAGTTTTTGTGGTACATAGGTCTTGATTTGATTGATCTGAATTTTACATTTCCATACATTGGTTGTGTATTCGGAGTTACTGTTAGCCCGGCTAACTGTAACAGTCAAGTTCTGTACCTAAGAAAACGACTGATCCAACATGTAGAGACGACGATTTAAGTCTTATGATTGATGACATGTCTTGACCATTGACATAACCACACGCAATACAAACTACAAGCAGGTGCAATGTGTATATTAGTTTCTAAATTAGTGCTAATTTGGCTGATTGTAGAATACTTACGATTAGCTTAATCTCGTAGTAGTTAACTCCAGACGTGCTCTGCATGTGTTCTTCATTTCCAAATTCTACGTCATCATTTAGATCACAAATTTTATTTATATTATCATAGTTAAAAGATTTACATACGTCAAATGATTTTCTCATGCATAGTTGAGCGCAACGCATAACACTGGGTGTTTTAAACCGGAACTTTAAATGACCAATTAAAGCATTGTTTTCCCTTTTAATGTGTACATTATTCGATATCAACCAACTGGCAGTTCCTGAATAAAGAAAGTAAACAATTTCAATGATTAGTGTACAAAATAGCAGTTCTTCGATTCAGTTAGTGTATTATATATATA